CATAATACTTTTACGAAAGTCACGAATGGAGGTGCCGAGGTCAGCAAATACCTCGTCCATCCGAGACTCCAAGTTAGAAGCAAAATAGCCGTTGAGAACGACGTCCTTGAGTCCACCTATTTGGTCAGTCAAGTAGTTTGTCGAGTTAATCAGTCGGTTAATAGTCTGTCGGTTCATGTCTATGTCTACAATAGTCTGGTTGATCATAGTCACGCTACTGTCAATCACGTCCAACACATCGTCCTGAGCGTCAGTCAACTCATTCACACGAGACAGAATGTCCTGGATTTCCGTGGTCGTCGCAGTACCGAATAAGGATGAGAGGGCATCACCAACAAAGGGTAGAAGAGCACGTTTCCTACGGTTTGAGCTAGGTGTCTGCAAATGCTGTAAAGCAGCAACGGTAATGTTCAGTTCCTGATCTAGTAGATCCGTTTCATGCATGAACTTTCCCCAAATGCGTTGTATCAGGTCAATACGCTCATGTTGGCGGTGCTGCGCAAAACGACTAGTAAATCTGTTTTTGAACACTTTAACACGGTACGTTAGTTTTTGCACATAAGTCCACGATGTCTGCGTCTGAATGGGAAAATGTAAAGTCCAATGATTGAACGAGGCAAAGAGGGTTCCACGGGGCAAGAAAAGTACGTTGGCGTCGACAGAGCATAGACATATGAGGGAGAGAAGAGGATAAAACAGATTCGTCCACATCTGCAAACACACAACAATTCATGAGTTAGTATGGGTTAGACACTGGGTTGTCGTACAGACAACACGTCAATATCAACGTAAATTACACTTGACGACATTCCAGCCGTCCGAAACATCCGTTACATCTGACATACTAGCCAGTGTACTAATAACGGCACATAACGGCATTCTAGCCGTCCAAATCATACGTTACAACTGACGTCCTGGTCAGTGTACATAGCATACCGCTCAGGCACGTCTGCCATTTGACGGTACCGCGGCAGCGTCCTCTCGGTTAGGTAGCGCTGCGATTTGATGCATGAGCTCCTGCATCATGTCCAAACTACGTGCTAACATGTTTTTAGTAGGGTTAGTAGCACTCACACTTTTCACACATTCACCGGCTGACTGTTCCATATCAGAATCCACGTCTGACTGCCCATGACAAGCCCATGACAAGAAAATTTCGACGGGGAGGTTTGAGTTTCTGAATCGGACGACAGTGACTCAGAGAGAAAACGAGGCCTCTTGACACGAACGTGCGGCATCACGTCAAGCTCATATTGTTTTGCCTTTTAATTTAAAATCATTACGAGGGCAACATGTTTAGGTGGTTCTGCAATTCGTTTGGACGTGTCCGATTTGATCACATTTCACGCTAATTGGCCGCCCGTCCTTGGTCTATGGGTACCACGATGTACCGCGTGGTACCTGCCTTGCATTTGTGACCGACTGTGGCGGTCGGATAATATCTAGCATGTTGCCAGATGGCCTGGGTTGATGGGCATTGAGGCTGGGCAGCCATTACGAAACACGTTAGTCAAAACACTATAGGTTACCCAACACACAAATCAACAAATACAATTTAACAAATGCAAAGTTGCAACACAAGACAATAAAGAGATGTGATCGAATTAGTTTTACGGAAAATAGGAAAGAAAACCGACTGACTGATGACTGACGAGTAGTAGTAGAAGATGACGTACCGTTAATGTTGATGAAGAATGAAGAAGAAGAATTTGAAGAAGAAGCTTGTAGTCCCGACGTATCCGGGTCTCACGGCGCCAATTTGTAACCTTTGGCTCGTGATAGTAAAAATAAAACCTGAATTCTCGCGTTGTGTTTTATAAAAGAAGACGTTCCTTTCGGCTTTTATTGACTTTAGCCAAAGGAGGTTAGTCAAAGTGTGGCCGCAAGCGACAAGGCCCAGCAGTCGAATGTTCGGGGGCTCTGCCCGCTCCGGCCCGGCCACGGCTCGGCCGGCACACAATGTTACACGTCACACATGTACAGCCCTCTGCAGACTGCGTGGTAGGTATTCTTTTTTCGACAAAACCGAGAATAACGCGAATACTATGCTATCGGCCACTCGGAAATCGTAACAGCAAGAAACGCGATACTCCGCAGCTTAGATTGGCATCATCACCGTATGCATTTTCCATCCAGTTTGGCAACAAAGCCCAAAAGTTTATATTTGCCCCTAAAACGAACTTTTACATTTTGTTGCCACACAAAGCGTGTACTTTGTTTAGTGATAGGCCCAATCGAAGGAGTGGAGCATGATGCATCTATTTGCAGTGAGTTTTGACCGACTGATAATATGGCTTTTGAATTATTATCAGTTTTGTCGGAAAAAGAATGCCTACCACGCAGTCTGCCGAGGGCTGTACGTCATATCCCGGGGCCAATCAGGAAAGGATTGCCATATTAGGAATTAAAGCTGGGCGGTCGGCAAGGAGGCTAATTGAGAGGACAGGGAAGTTACTTCGTTACAGGGTGACCTGAAGCCATCAGAAAATACAGTCATTGCCATGGACGACGAAAGTTATTTTCCGTTTCATTGCCCGGAAGTCCAAGCAAATAGAGGTAATACGGAAAACAAAGAAAATACCGCACCAGAAGTCAGATATCAACGCAAGGAGAAGTACCCAAAGAAGGTGATGGTTTGGGTGGTCATTTCCACGGCTGGGATCAGCCAAAGTTTCATGGCATACAAGAGTGCCATGAATGGTGAGACACACCGAAAGCAGTGCCTTCCTCGGTTAAAGGCCTTCGTTGAGAAACACCATGCTAAAGAAAACGTGATCTTTTGGCCAGATCTGGCCTCATACCATTACGAAAAGTCCGTCCTGGAAGAGCTGGAGAGGCTTCATATAAAGGTCGTTAAAGGTAGTGTGCCACCTTCCAATGATTTCCCGTTTTATTTTTCCTAGGATAAGAAGCTTCTGTTTTTACCTAATATCGCAAAAATCGAAAATGGGCCTGGAATAGTCCCTTTTTTGCCTAAAAGTTTATCGGTTTTTCGATATGTATAACAACTGTAGTGGGCTGACCTGCAAACAGGCGTCGGCAACAATCGCGAATGCGGCGCACATGTGACAATAAGCAAAGGTCATTATAGAGTTACAATGTACGGGAATGAGTTTTCAGCTGTCTAATCGTAGACAACGCAATGTCGAACTTAAACTGTAAGCCTGTATTGGTATTGTTTCTTTAATTTGGCTGTCGAACATTAATTAATGGTTTGAAATATGATTTTATGTAAAATAATTGATATGAAACAGCCGTCTCTTAAGTTATGACCCCATTTCACCACACGCAAATGGAAGAAATGACAATGATCAGCTGACGCATTTTTCTTGGCCGAAGTCAGAGCGCGCGGCCCGACGCACCACGCGTATTTGGAAATTCCGACCTCGACGAGCATCAGAAGCCACCTAACAGGCGTGTTCGAAACCGCAGGAGATGATGATGAACGGGTTTATCGAAACTTGATTGGATGAGCCTATCGGTAATAGCGATTTTAGTGTGTGCATTTTTTGTTCATAGTGGTGTGAAATGTGGTTGGGGTACGACCGACAACCCGTCGGGGCGAATTTCGCACTGGGGTACTCAAAATTTGAAGAATTTAAGGCGTTTCCATTAGTTTTGAAGGTATGGATGAGTTCTAAAAATCCGGTTCTCCTTATCCGGGTCATTAACTCCATATGGTCCAAGAAAGCTGGCACACTACCTTTAAACGAGACGAGAACCCACCTGCAGTGCCTCAACTCCGACCAATAGAAAAGTTCTGGGCTTCGCTGAAGGCATCAGTATACAAGGATGGCTGGCAGGCAGAAAATGAACAGGAACTCCAGTCACGAATAGTCAAAAAGCTGAAGGAAGTTCCCGCGGAAGTGTGCCAGAGGCTGATGGCACAGGTGAAGAGTGAAGACAAACGTCCGCCGTGTGTCTGACGAAGGCCACCAGGCGCTCCTGCGGCTCTAGGTCTAGTAGAGGACAGTGCACCGAGTGTGTTGGTGTGATCTTCATATATCTGAGTTGCTCAGTATGCAAAATACAAGCTCCTGCATTTTGTGTCAATTTTTAGTTGTGGACCTTTATTGAAACACGAGCGCCAGCTGCGCCGCGCTTGAGCGCAGCCATATCCTGGGATAAATTTTGGTATATAGTTGTGAGCTCCCGATTCTAGCTGTTTTTCTAGATGATATAGTATACTTCTAGTATATACTAGGAAAAAACTTTGGAGTACCCGACTCTTTAGTGCCCTGAGTAATATAAAATCTGGCCTGCCAAACATATGGCCAGTCAGGCCCAAACCAAAGCGGGATGACAATAGCAGATGTCAAAGCGATACTGTATCAGCAGAAACCATTCAGATGGCAAGGAAAATGCCGTGTGTTGATGTTTAGATGTATAAAGGAAACAAGAAGGAAAGAAGTCCGGAAAAGGGAGGAAAGATCCTTTATCCCTGCCTCAATGTTGAGGGGGCGCCGCCCCCTCGGCTCTCAAGTTGGGGGGGGGGGGGCAAGCGCCCCCGTTGCCCCCCCCCCCCCCCCTGTTTCCGGGTCTATGCCTCGGCAACAGTTAAAAACAAAGCTTCTCCCAAATTTGTCGACACTTTATCCAGGGGTGGACAATTGTGCTGAGTTGGGGTAGACCGAGTCTTCCCAATTCCACGCTGGCTGCGCCGGCTTCGCTTTGGAGCCGCACCAGACAGCAGAGGTCAAGGTCACCGCCAGGGCGGCGGAGGATTTGCTGCGCCCGTGCAACCCCAACTCGGCATAGTTATTTCTCCACCCCTGACTTTGTCCCATCGTACGGACATTGGGTGCCTGCTGCCACCAGTGACGTCATAGCATGTTGATATTTCAAGACACAATTTCCGGGTACTTACCGTGCACGATTTGAAATATAATATTTTTTTCGGTAAGAAACTCTTGGCCAGACGATGAAGCTGCCAAAACTCACGTGAGAGCTTCGATAATGAACTTGGAGCCAGCGTCCTTTTGAAGAAAAAAAAAACGAACTACAGTCCCGCTCACATGGTATGCTATTTGTAAGTTACTAAGGTACTGCCGTCGATTTGCCTAGTCACTAGCACCAACATGTTTTCGGTGGTAGGGCGGTGCCGTCGGCCGCCGCCGCTCAGTGAGGCGTGGCGAACAGCAGACTGGCGGCCGGCGCCGCGGCGGCCCGCTCCGGCGAGACCGACCCCAGTCGGTCACGGATGTTCTCCACGATCAGGCTCATCGCAACTGCAACAGGACAAACGGTCAGACGGCTGTGAGCAGCTGGACAAACGGTCAGACGGCTGTGAGCAGCTGGACAAACGGTCAGACGGCTGTGAGCAGCTGGACAAACGGTCAGACGGCTGTGAGCAGCTGGACAAACGGTCAGACGGCTGTGAGCAGCTGGACAAACGGTCAGACGGCTGTGAGCAGCTGGACAAACGGTCAGACGGCTGTGAGCAGCCGGCTGGGCCAACTGGTGCACGGCCAATCCTTCAGCCGGCCGAGCCAGCAGGCGCCCTGCGCGGCTCGTCTTTGTTGGCCGATTCATCCCCGCTCATATCATTAACCCGCGCCGGGCCGGTGCTCTGAAATTCCGCGCCGGGCTGGGGGGTGTCTGAACACCCCCTTCTTCTAACTCGGCTCCTGAGCCACGTAGCGACACGCGGTAAGCGGCAATCGAAAGAACGCCCAAAATAAGGACGAAAACACTTCGGTAATTTTTTGGGTCAGGTCAAAGGTCAGGTCAGCAGAGGTCACCAAAGGTAACATTTTGGAAAACTGCCGACAGCTATCTCGGGAACCGATAGAGCTCATGGTGTGTCAAAAGTGGAAATAGCCGCCCGGCTTTAGTTCGCCAGCCTTGTCAATAGATGGCAGTACCACAATATGGGCAGCGGATCGTGCAATTGACGTCAAATTTTCGTTATCTGCTAAGAATTGAATGGCGGATCTTTTCATGCAAGAATCAAGTAAATCGGTCCACAACTTTTCTAGCAACAGAGATATGAAGTCAAACACCCTGCCAGAGCGGCGGCGCGGCGGCCGGCGGCAGCCGTTACGCGCCGCCTGGGAGACTGGCGGCGCTGAACGGTTCCGAATTGGCACTGCACTAAAACCTGTTAACTGCTTGGAATAGTTATTATAGCAAAATTTTCATTCAAGTGAGGAATAACCAAGGGCAGGAAGGATGTATGCTTGTGTGCGTACTATGTAAGCCAAGAACCTGCATTAGCAGATACTCGCTAATATTAGATCCAGCCAAGTCCAAACGCATTCCAGGTGATGTGTTTCTGATGGGTCAACAATATTTATCGTTCGAGGGCGGATACAGTTTTAACAATACAAAAAATATTTTTGCACAGCTCTATTCCTTTAATAATTCTCTTCAACGCCTCATTCCTAGTTAAGCGAATTAGCCCACCCTGGTTGAATAAATAAGGCGATTTCGCCACAAGGGCGCGGAAAACCGACCGAAAACGGCCTCGCTCAACGTTAATTTGGGCATGCAGACTCTTAAAAACTCGCATTGGGCGGGTAGGGTTTCCCAGGTATTGGCTCCAAAACACCGTATTCGGCTCCCGAATACGTCCAAGTGACCCGCCACGTTCCTAGTTAAGCTCTAATTAGATCAAGTGACTCATAGGGAGCGAAAAAGCGACAAAAAGCATGAATTTTCCTATGGCGGCTGGCTGCCGGGTTGCCAGACGGCGCACCGGCTATTTCCACTTTTGACACACCATGTATAGCGCCGCGGAAAAGCGCATTCGATAGCCCTTTTACAGACCTTTCTGAGTTATGTTCTCAGATTTGACCTCAGGCCAACGGTTTAGCCTCCAGAGGGCAAAAACTCCAAAAATAGCCGTTTTTACGAAAAACGTTTTTTCGGCAATAACTTTTGACTCGAGAGAGCCATGACATTACTTTTGCCAGCATCGTGTTCCTCTCGTCGAGACGCGTCGAATGAACTATAATTTGACATTGAAAGGTCAACTTGTAAATTTGACCTCAGGTCAAGTTTATGACCTGACCGGGAAAGGTCATGTTGCATATCAGTCGATCCGCAACGTCGAGCCGAACACATCTAAGGCGTTTTCAGCGCTCTAGCACGCCTCTGTGGCAGAAGTTATTAGCGAAAAACTGTTAGATTCTGTTCGTGACCTGAGATGACCTCGGGGACATACCGAGGGGTCACAGTTGCCATTTTCCGGTTCAGTGTGTCAATCTTACCTACGTCTCGATGCTTGAGAGTGTCTAGAATAGCGTTCGTGCAAAACAGACGCTTTTTAATTTTCTCCCATTGACTTATAATGGAGACTGGAGAGGCCGTAAAATTGACCTGACCTTAGGTCACCGATATCAAAATTCCGAGATAAACATTTTGTAGATAATGTTGCCCTTATCAATCGCTAAAAGTTTCAAGGCAATCGATCAATCGGTGTAGCTATGACGAGCATTCTTATTTTTTCTGAGGTGAGGTCACTTGGCGTGACCTGGTGACCTGACCTAAGGCGACCTGGGTCTGAAATTTTCACAACATGTGCGGAAAAGATGCACAAACAGGTGTGCTAAAAACGGCGGCGCGGAGGCGCCGCCGTTTTTGAGATATCTGCGGAAAACTGCAGGGGCGGGGGGTGTTCAAACACGCCCCCCGGCCCGGCGCGAGTTAAAGTGGTGTCACGTGGTCGGCTGCGCCCGCCGTCCCGCCGACCGCAGCGCACAGCCAGCTGACAAACGCTCCCAGATGGCGGCCGGCTTATTGTATCGTGCAGCGCCCGCCGCGGCGCACACACCCAGCGACGCCGGTGGGCGCACCTCGCTCCGCCCGCAGTGCAAAAGGAGGGGCATAAACTTCTCTGTCGGTGGGGATAGAGGGCAGCAGGGAGCGGGAAAGAAAGGGTTACGTCGGCACCGACGATTGGCTGTTTTGCCCCGGGCTTTCCTTGCGCAGCCGCCAGCCGGCGCCACCGTCGGAAGGCCGGCCATGCTGATTGACAGAGGCGTCGCCAGGTGAGAAGCAATGGAGAGTCGTTCAGTCGACGCTGGACCAGAGGGTGTAGCGCTCTTATAGTAGGTGAATACCATCGCTGAAAGTTTTGCAACAAGCGGCAGGTGCTCCGAAGGACGTATTCTAATGAACAAACGAATAGGAAATTAATATTCAGCTCCTAAAACTAACCCAAAAATATGTAATTAAAAAGTCAGCCCAGATGGGCAACGATCAATGCACTTGACCTGACCCTGTATGTGACCTTGATACCTGCCGTAGTCCAAGGCACAAACATAACGTTCTAGGTTGGCACGTTTCTATTCACAAAAAGTCTGGTAGTGGTAGCGCATGATGTACATACGTCGGACCGCCATTTAGGTCTGTGATGGTCTCTATAGAGGTCAGAGGCCAAGGTTCTTTTGGGAGTTTGCAGATCCTTGTCTACAAGTGCCAGGGTTCTGTTATGGACACGATGTGGAGTTTATTAAGGTAATAAGTGAATGAGGACTTAACTCTACAAGAAATCGTTTTTGTCGAACGATTTCTTGTGGAATAAAGTCCTCATTTACTTATTACAGTGCCAGAGCTAGTACGTAGGGTGAATGAAAAGTTTTGAGCCTATAGTCAAAATTGATGTGAAAATGATCAATAACATGTCAAAAAATTGTATTGGTTCTTTAGTTTACCAAAGAGAAACAAAAGAGAAGAGAAGAGTTCTCTCTCTCTCAAAACAAAAGAGTTTTGAGCCTAACATAGCTGCAGGTGACGCAGATTAATGAAACTTTGGTCACATATTTTGCCAGTATTTAATGTGAAAGTTTGAATGTGCTATCGTCAGTAATACAGAAACACTGCCCAATTGATCATTACTTATTGAATGACCTAATTACGGAGCGAGCGAAGCCAGCGGAGTCTTTCCCATATATGGGAAGGACTCCGCTATATATCCGCTATATACCGGGTGGCCCAGAAAAAACGTTCCCAACTTTAAATCAATATTTCTCAGAAAGTGATAAAGATACAACACTGAAACTTCGAATAGTTAATGCGGCACACATTTTCAGTAAATGGTGTGATTTTCATGGTGTTCGGTAAATTACTTTTTAAACGGTTCGTGTTTCAAGCATGCCATGTAAAAATTACTTTTTCGCTCCGATGTTACTCAAAAATGTGAGTGAACAGGTCACTTTCACCCCTCGGCACCACGGCCTAGAGCCATGGCTGCTACTGGCAGCTAGTCTCATTGATGGTTCGGGTCTCAGGATGACACATTCCATCAGGCAACCACGATGGCTCTGTGCCAGTGGCATCGGAAGAAGTTTCCAGTTTTCTAACCATCTTGTGGCTCAAATGCTTTCCTGGCGGACATTCTTGGGAAAAGGTAGCTTTTCAACCAGTTTTCTTTTTTTGTCATCTGCTGGCAATGTTGTTTTTCATAAAATGTTATGTGGTCTTCTGGCACAGGAACTAGTCTGTTTTAGTTTGTTTTCCTTATCCGGTCGATTTACTGTTTGATCTACTGAAAGGAGGGTAATCAGCAGTAATCCATGCACCGTGCCACGAATCATGATTTGGTGTTAAAACGAATGGCATCCATGAGCACCATTTTGGCTCAGTATTTGAATATTTGGCACATAAGTGAGACACAAATATTTAAGATAAGAACATACGTGTTGGTTTCATTCACATGCTCTATTTTTCTATTCTTTTTTTTATAACATGGGGCGTCTAACCCAATCATCACTATCGTTTGACATCGACAAAAAAAGCAAAAACGTCTTGCTTAATTCAACTCAAGATTGCCAGCTTGAAAATGATGGTATAGTGTTATAATTTAGAATACCAATGCGCAAAGAAATGACGCAAACTTGCTGAAAATTTTGTCTCGTTATTTGCACTCGAATTTGATATATAGGCCTCCAAAGTTCGGAACGTTTTTTCTGGGCCACCCGGTATAACGGTTTCTTTCGCATATATGGGAAAGAAACCGTTATATATAACGGTAAAAGATCAGTATGAGCGGCCCGGCCTGGCCCGACCCGACGTGTAACGCTTTTGAGAACCTTATAACTCAGCAGCCGCTGAGCCGATTTACTTGCGGTATTTTTTGTAGGGTAACTTGATTCCTTCCACCAAGTATTATGCTATTTTTGATGCATGTGGGTGGCCTCTTGTGCACGGGCCAAGAGGAAAACGGAGAGGTGTCAGTTTCGTAACAATTGCAATATCTCGGTAGGTACTGGGCCTATTGCGCTGA